AGACCCGATGGCTTCCTTGCCATTCTCACCTGAGTGGGAGTGGCAGCAGTGTACTGACTGACCAGTAAGACACAGAGAAGTGTGGAAGATCACCACAGCGTATTTAGAGCTGTGCAGCAATAACAGCTAATTTGTTTTTGCCTAAAGAGCAGTTAGGGTAGGTTTTGTTTAATTTTAAATAAAGACATTTGGACTCCAAAGGTCATTTCCGTGAAATAACAATGCGCCTTTCAGAAAGGGGCACCGGCAGGGTCTCCGTTACTCCCAGTGCTCCCAGCCTGGTTTGAAAGCCCAGCTGCAGCTCAGCCGTGTGAGCATCCCCAGGACTGCTCTCTACTCATTGCACCAGCTGGCTGTCCTGGTACCCCCACCATGGAAAGCACAGGAGCTTAGGAAGGAGTTTCACCTTCTCTGTTGGGGTGTTTGCAAGCACCCAGTGCCTATTTGACAGTAAAATGAGGATGATGCCCAGCTCCTCTCCCCCCTCACCCATCAGCTGTACCCCTGTGCCTTCTGGAAGTGCTGGCAGAGGATGGTGCATCCACAGCAGGCAACATACAGCAATACGTTTCCCCCATTTTCATCTGGTATGGCATGAGAATCAGATATTACCAAAAACTGTGATTTTAAAATAGTCTATTTGCAGTGGGGGAAGGTTTTCCATGTGCTGCTGGCTTTAAATGGCGGGTGAATGCTGACTTCAGTGAAATTGGTACCATGATCTGTATCCGTGCAAGTACATTGAAGCAAGGTGATGCAGGAAGCAGAGCTGGGCAAAAAAGCAGGCATCTTGGTTCCCAGCTCCAGGTACATCGCATATTTATTTTCCTATATGCTTCCTAAATAGCTACTCTTTCACACTTTCAGCAGGCAGAAAGTTATAGAGCTGTGAAAAAGAAAACTGGAGGCTCAGGCTATTCTCTGTCTTACAGACATGTATTTGCCACAAATTTACTCTCTGCTTCAGTGCAGCCCACAGCATCACTTTCTATCACTCAGACTTCAAGTATCAGGTCAGTTTGTTCTAGAAGTACATTATCTTTTATTCTGTGTGGGGAAAGAATCTTCAGAACGAAAAAGCCTTTGAGTTAAAAAAAGCTCCCCTCCTTAGCCAGCACTGCTGTTTGTCACCCTCTTGGAAATTTGTAAACTCTTTTCTCCGTATTTATCTAACCTTGCTATTTTTGGATTTGCCATAACTGTCTGCACCAATGAGGTGTGTACGGAGGGGGGAGCATCTGTGCTGCTTGGCTGATATTTTTGGCCAGTGTATTGGTCATACTGGGAGCTTAGGTACCGTGGGGAGATGCAGTCCCGATCCCCTCATCTCTCTGCCTCCTCTTCCTCCTCCAAAAGCATTGATGCCCTACCCACCCGCCCACAGCAGCTCAGCAGTCCCCAGTTGAGATGGCCAGTATAGATGTGCCAAGGGCTGGATGAGAGGGGAGGAAGAGGCTGGGATGGATGGCACAACCAGCTGCAGTGGCACTGTTTGGACCTCTTCTCCCCACCCCAGCACTCTCATAGCTACAGGAAAACTCACTGCGGCACTGAAGGAGGTTTGAACATTTTCACCTTCCAGGGGCGTGGTGGGACTGTGATGGCCCGTAGAAGAAGGCAGTTTACTGCCTCTGTGCTTCCCAAAGATGCCCTGGCAACTCTCAGCCAGCCAGCTCCTGCATAGTAAAGAGCAGCATGGGACAAACGTGGCCACCATGAACAGAAAGAAAAGGACTTCATCAACCTACCATCCTTCACAGGGAGGTGTGGGTGGACACGTATGTATACACATGTATGTATGTACCTTAATACCCTACAGCTTATAAGAGACTCGTAATTTTAATTTTCTTGTCTTGCCAAGGGCCTTTCCAAACCAGCTCCAGGCGTGGTTAACCCCATCTGCCCTATGCTGTGTGGGGAGAAAGGAGCTGTACTGAAGGAATGTCTCCTCCATCTCTTCATTTATGACCAAGGTGCCTCAGCTTCACTCAGATTCCCCCTAAATCATCAGTGCACTAGACTGGGGGTGAATCCCAGTATGGGCAGTGATTCACTCCCATGCCCCCAGGCAGCAATACCACAAGAGAGGCCACTGCAGCTCTCCTGTGTTGACAACAGAGAGATCTCTCCTCCCCCAGAGTCCTGTTCAGAGACATTGTGCATCTAATAATCATACAAAAAGATCTTCTTGATTTCTTGGAGGCTTGCGGGAACAATTTTTTTCAGCTCCAGAGTTTTGATTAGGGCTTGTCTTCCAGTAGCCAGGAGGTCACAGTGTCTGCACAGATCACAACCTGAACATCTGCATCCTATTACACAGCATGGTAATTATTTTTCAACATTCCCCATGTCTTCTAGCAGTGATAGTGGTGATTAAAGCCTGGGGTGGATTCCTGAGTAGCATTTCTACTTCCTTTACTTTCGCATCCTGACCGTAAACAGGAGAAGAGGGCTTTCCTTGGGCACTAGGTCAGGAAGCCCATGTGCCTAACGGTGATACTGACGCACTGATGAAAGCCCGGAGATGTCAACTGGTACAAAGCAGCTGAACAAACCTGCCAAGGGGTGCCAACAATAGCAGGATGTCACTGCAGCTCACAGGGAGGATGTTTCCATTCACTGATTTGGCTCCTGTGCCAAAAGCTGTCCAGTGGTCCAAGGACTAAAACCATTGTCTCCAGGAAGTGACCAGGAGCAGACTCTGGTGGCTCAGAGAGAGTGACGGGGATTTGGTTTCCCATCCCCAATGCCAGATCAGCAAGAGGAGGAGGTGTGTGAGGCACACTCTGGGCAGGGCACCTCTGGGCAGCCCCCTTCACACTTCTCACATGGTCTGGAGCCCCTCTTACAAGGGGGCTCCATTAACCTTCTTGTTGAAGACTGGGACTTTATCATTCTCCTTCCTGGGGGAGAGAGGGGAGATGGGTCAGGGAGACCAAAGAGCCAAGAGGAGAAGGATTAGTTGGGTCAAGTCTACAGCAAGAGGCTGGAGATGCTGAGCAAGTATTCCAGCCAGGAGACAGTTTCAAAATTTCCTGACTGTGAAAGGATTTTACTTTCTCTCCTCATTATACATGGTGGCATTAATGAGCCCACATATCTGGGCTGTCGGGTTTGGACTTGTGCAGGTCAGCATTCAACATTCAAAACATTTCCTTCACCATAATTTTTGCTGCAAGGTTTTGAAAGGCAGCCAAAGGCAGGAAACTGTCTATAAATGAGGGAGATTTGTCCGGGTGGGTCCCGGTGCTGAAAGCAGCTGCTGTCTACAATTTGTATCCAGCCAGAGAAGAGGCAGGAGGCTGGACTCATCCTTCCCTTGGGAAAAGGGGCCATGGCACACACCAGTGCACACGCCCTGCACAGCAGCTCCTGCTGTTTCCTCTCACCACATCTCTGCGAGTCCTCCCGTCCTCGTTCCTCATTACCTGCCTAGTATTTCTCTGCTTGGCTACATCTGTCTGTCTCTTCCTCAGCACGTGTGATGTCCTGTCCCCATATGTGTGCCTGCAAGTGCACTCACGTTTGCGTGTCTCCCTTAGCCCCAGTGTGTGTCTTGCTCTTAATAATTGCTCAGGTTGCCTGGCGGCTACGTGCACATCTCCATCCCATCTGTATTTTTCTGCTCAGTTACGCTCGCGTGCCTTGCCCTGCGTCTGCCTTCCTGTGCTTGCCTGCATCTCTGCTTGCAGTTGTGTATCTCCCTCCACGAGCCCTTTTATCCATGGTAAACAGGACAGGCACGTGCACCCAAGCCGCGTGCACCCAAGTTGGCTCGAATTGCACCGGCCAAGAGCCAAGATGAAAGGACAGGGAGGAGGGAGGAGGGGGGGAAGAAGTGAAGGGGAGCAAAAGGGTTGTTGGAAAAGGCCTAGGGGACAGCCCAGCTTCTTGTTGCCTTTGCACTGCTCTCATGGAAAAGATCGTCAGATAAGACTGCTCGTTAAGATAACGACCAAATGCCTGCAAGCCACCCAGCTGGATGTGAAGAGAAGCTCTCCTTCATCCTCCCAGACAAGAAAGGGTGAGGGTGTCCCAAGGCTACCGCCTCTTGGGGTCATGGGGGTCAAGGGGAGGGGCACAGATATGCATCAGAGCTCAGGCAAAAGGGGAGGGCTGCAAGGGGAGTGGAAAAGGCAGACACATGGCAAAAATATTCCAATTTCAGAAAAATGCAGGGTGAGCAATTAAGGCTGTTTAAAATAGGAGTAACATTACACCCCTCCCTCACAGAGAAAGGGCAGCCGACACTGCACGACCCAGCTTGTAAACACTTTCTCAGAACCTTGGTTACAAATTTGTCCCCTACACAGTGTTGCTGGCCACCACATCAGGAGCCAGATGAACTGCCACCCGCAGTGGGGGGCTTCCTTGCCGTGCCCACAGATGTGGTGGGGAGGGGGGAGGATGCTACACCAAAGGCATGTTGCAACTAGGCATCCAAAAGTGTTTGCAAAGGGCAGGGGAGCTGCCCAAAGGACTGTGGCAGCTGTGGGCACCTTGTTGAGTGGAGAGGATCCTGATAAGCCAAATTAGAAGATGCAGAGAGGCCAGGTGAGAAACTCTGGGAGAGGAGGGACTGTCAAGGTTTCTGAAGATGGAGCTGTCACGGGGGATAGAGTAAGCTTCTGCATGGCCATGCCACACAAGTGGTCAGAGCCACCCTGGGGCACTGGCAATGCTGGCAGCATTCACATGTGCAGGGAGGCAAGGCAGCTGCTGTGCTGGCATGAGATGCAGGGGTGGGCAGACAGGAAGAGGCACACAGGCAGGCACAGCCCACAAAACAAGATGAAAATGAGTCAGCTGTACCAGCTGATGACTAGGGGGGGTCCTGGAAGATGTCAATGTTTCTGCCTCACTTTCTGGAAAATACCCAACCTCAATGGAAAACTACTGCAGCAGAAGTCACCAACACAGCCACAGTGGTGGCCGGCAGGAGGGCTGGTGAGACCGGCTGTGATTCTGCTTTGAATACCAAGCCAAAACCAACACAGCAGTGCTTGCTCTCCCAAATTTTAATACAACTGCTATAGAAGGGATACCATTCAGATAGACCCAGGCAAACTTAAGAAGTGGGCTTACAAATCCGAGTGTGAGGTGTTGCACATGGACTATTGTCCTCATAAACTGTTAAGCTGATTTCGACCTCAGAGATGTTTGCTGGAAGATCAGGACAGCAGACTGTAAGCAACTGAGGAGACTCCTGAAGCTTGCTTCGCCTGGCCAGACAGCAGACCACAGCAAGCAGGATCAGGGCTGCTGCAGCGATCCCAAACACCCACACAGAAGGGATTGTGGCTTTCTCTGCACCATTGCTACTCTCAATCTCCTGTAGCAGATTAACCAACTCCTGGTGCAGAAACATCTCATGCTCCAGCATCTTTTTGGCTGTGGCTCCATTGATCTGATGCCGCTGCTTCAGGCCAGACTGGATGATGCTTCTGGCCAGCAGAGCTTGGATGAGAGTGGTTACTGCAGCCATGGCCTGGAGGAGGTGGGAGAAAAGGCGGCTCATCGGGTCTGGATGGCAGAGAGGCACCTAGCACATCCCCAAAGCCTCTCTGGGCGTCTGCCATCACTGGGAGCCCTGAGCCCCTCTGCCACCAAACCCAAGGGCAGTATTGTGTCCTGCCCTGAGGGGCTTGTCTCTCTCTCTGTGGGTCAGAAACCTTCCCAGCATCTGACCTTTCCTCCCTTCTTCCAGCCCAGCCTTCCCTCTGCACGTGCACTAGTCACCTGAGTCCAGCTGTGGTGGGTCTGGGGCTGCCTGCTGATGCTCTTGGTGACAGCTCCCATTGTGACACATCCTCCATGTCTCAGCCACCAGAGCTGCATCACCCAGCCAGCGCCCCAGGCTTTGTCACCACCACCCAGCTCAGCGAGTCCTGGCCATTACAACAAGTGCAAACCCCACCTGCAGAAGTGAGCTCCCAGGGACTCTCTTGACAAAGAGACTCTCCCTCCAAAGGCATAATTTAAATGAAAATGGGGACTGCAGGTGGATGTCCCTGACCTAGGTAGAGAGGTGCAATGTCTTCTGGGCCAGGTGGTCTGACTCCAAGTAACCTTGCAAAGCCTTACCTTACGAGCCCTTGGGCAGAGATAACTCTCCTCCCTCTCGTCCTCTTGGCTTCCTTCTGCTGGGGCTGGGCTTGGCCCTGCAAACCCTGGCAATCAAGCCAAATGCCACTTGTGTCCCTGGTGCAAGTGGAGAAGATCCTGTGGCTCCTGTCTCTAGCTAACTTGCCTGCAAGGGCAAGCAAGTGGGCTGGAGGGGCTATGCTGGGACTTGCATTTCTCCGCTCCCCTGAGGTTTCCCCAGTTCAGGAGAGCCACCTGTACACCCTGCTGTGGATTGTGCCTCTCAGAAATGTGGTCTGTACTGCAGGAGTGCACACCCTGAGACCCAGAGAGCTCAAAGGCTTTCTCTAGCCTTGCTGCCTGTGCACCAAGACTAACACGGGAGCCACATTTCTGTCAGTTCCAGATGTAGAGAACAGTACGCCCAATGCACCTCCTGTCCAAAGCCTTCTGGAGGTAAAAAGAGGCAGAGCTTGGTAAGTTCAAGCATGCCCTGAAGTCTCTTTCTGTGTTGAGTCTTTCTTGTCAAGGTGGTGGAAACTTGAAGTCCCAAGTGGAGGGAATATGGAATAAGAATCATTGTGGTTGGCAGAGATCTCTAAGATCATCCATTAATCCAGCACTGCCAAACCCACCACAAAACCATGTCCCCACGCAACATATCTAAACATCTTTTAAATCCCTGAAGGGATGGTGACTCCACCACTGCACTGGGCAGCTTGTTTGGATTCTTGACAACCCTTTCAAGGAAGAAATTTTTCCTAATATCCAACTTAAACTTCTCCTGGCACAACTTGAGCCTATGTTCTCTTGTCCTATTGTTTGTTACCTGGGAGAAGAGACTAACCCCTGGCTACAACCTCTTGGCTGGACTTACTAGCAAGGCTTTAAAGGAAAAGGGATGTACTTCTGACTGTCAGAGAGGAAACACCAAGCCTTTAGAAAGCAGACTGCAAGTAAATAGTCTCAAAGCAATTAGGGAGGGCTCTTCCCAAAAGGTAAGGAGACCAGTAGGCTGAAGTGCCTCTACACCAATGCACACAGCACGGGAAACAAGCAAGAGGAGCTAGAAATGATGGTGCAATTGGAAAACTAGGAACTAATTGCTTTTACAGAAACATGGTGGGATGAATTGCACAACTGGAACACTGAATTTGAGGGCTATGAACTTTCCAGAGGGGCTGTGCTGCTGGGTGCTGCTGGTGTTACTGGACCCAGACCCACTGCACGCTAGCCACTCCCCTCACCACATGGCTTTCCAGGTGTCCCTTGTTCCCCACAGCTGGAGCCAGCTCACCTTGGAGCAGCAGGTTCCTAGAGATGCACATCTGTGTCCCTGGCTGCTGCATCCCATCATCCCCACAGGGGTGCCTGCCTGCAGACCAGCCTGTAAGGCCCACCAGTGCAGAGGGTAGCACTTGGCTTGCTAATTTAAGGGTGATTGGTTTTTTCTACCCCTTCCTGCAGAACTCCTGATGCTCATGAGAATTCAGTAAAAGCAGTGAAGCCACATGGAGGGCCTCGCAGTGGTGCCTGGCTCCCCTCCTGCCAGCAGAGGAGCCTTGTCCCAGGTTCCTGCTCACACTGGGCACATGAACTGGTGGGCAGTTTGGATTTTCAGCTTATTTCTGGATTTTACCACTAGTAGTTAATTTAAGAGAAATTTAAAAAAATCAATGCAGCCAAGGCTAAAGTTCAAGAGAGGGATGCCTGCAGCTGCCAGTGCTCTCAGGAGGGGACATCTTCGCTGCTCACAGGGGAAGGCTAAAAAAAAAAATAAATCTAATTACTTTTCTCTCCCTCAACCACCCAGTTAACTCCCCTTGCCTTCCGCTTGTTTCTTGCAGTCTAATTAAATTTCCTCGGATGGCCATGTTTCAGGACAGAAGGCTGATGTGGGGGGTGTGCAGATCTCCCAGTCCTCGGCCAGCTGCGGGGAAGGAGCATGCATTTGTGCACCCCCATGCTCCCAGCTTCCAGACTCTGTTCCTGGCTGCTTTGTACAGTGGGACAGAGACATAACCAAGGGCACATTGCAATCTCCACCGCAGGTTAGGAGATAAGCAGCCCTCTCTTAATGAGGACATGATATACCTGGCAAGACTTTACCCCTTGTGAGGAACAACAGGCTCTTTCACTCTGGGCCCTGGCACATCCAGGAGCGGTCGTGGGACACAGGGAACAACAACTGATAAATCAGCTCAGCACTACCAGCCATAGGAAGCCCAAGCTAATGGGGCAGCCCCACATCAGCTGTTGTTGGGAAGCCCTGGAATGTCCCACGTTGGATTGCAACAGCAATCACAGCAAGACAACAATTCTGGAGAGCTACGGCTTTGCTAAAATTGGCTTTTCCAGAAGGCAAATGGGGATGGCAGCTCTCCAGCACCAGAGGGAAAGCTGCATTTCTGCCTCCAGTATCTGCCAAGGGAGGCCCATCCCAGAGGGAAAGGGCAGCATTACCACACTGAGAGACCTCTATCTGCTGCTTGTGAGGTAAAATCCCCACTGAAAGGAGCCAAATTGTTACTGTGCATATCTAAAGGCACTGAATTATTAAGGAGAAGTGATCTCTTAAGGCTGCAGGTGGAGCAGAGAGCTTTACAGATGGCTGATATTAAGTGTAATGGACCTCTAATGGAAAACCACCTTATTGCTGCAGGATGGTTTCTCAGCTGCGGAGCAAAACAAAGCAGCTGGAGTGAATGTGGTACAGACCATCGTTGCCCTGGGAATTACTGGGTCTGATAGTCCTTTACAGCTTTTTGGAGTATTGCAGTAAGCATGTGGTGGAGAGATACTCCCTTCCACCCCATTCTCTGAGAATATCTACAATCCAGCATTTACTTTTTCTGGATGAGCCCAAAACAGCCTTTCTGGGCTTCCACGTGATTAAGGTCATATAAGAGCTAGCTGTTGTTTCCAAGCCTCCCGAATTTGCCAAAATTAGGCTGGATTTGTGGAAACTGGCTTCCTAAGACCTCAGGCACTTCCGGCTTTGAATGCCAGGCCAAAACCAACACAGCAGTGCTTGCTCTCCCAAATTTTACTATGACTCCTTTAGTCCCAAATGGAGCCACAGATTACAAAATTTGTTTATCTGAGTGTCAGAGAGGAACCAGGAAACACCAGCACTTTACGAAGCAGCAGAGAAATATTGTAAACCGTCCCAAAAGAATTAGAGAGGGCTCTTCCCATAAAGTGAGGAGGTTGATAGCCCAACGGAAGTGTCTCTACACCAATGCACACAGCATGGTAAACAAGCAAGAGGAGCTGGAAACCGTGGTGCAATTGGAAAAGTATGAGCTAATTGCTGTCACAGAAACATGGTGGGACGATTCGCGCAACTGCAACACTGCAGTTGAGGGCTATGAGCTTTCCAGAAGAGATGAGAAGGAGGAAGGGTTATTGTGCTCTAGGTTAAGGAATGGATAGATTGTGGAAAGCTACCTCTGAGAAACACCCGTGAACAGGTTGGGAGCTTGTGGGTGAAAATCAAGGACTGGACCAAGAAAGGACACCTTGTGGTTGGAGTCTGCTCCAGGTGCCTGACTGGGGGAGCCTGCTGATGAGGCGTCTTGCTTCATCTACAGAAGCATCACACTCACATGCTTTCATCCAGATGGAGAATTTCAAACATCCAGACATCTAGTGGGAAAGCAATACAGATGGCTGAGAGCAATCCAGGAGATTCCTGGAATGCATAGAGGACAACTTCCTGGTCTAGGTATTGGACAAACCACTCAGAGGAGGAGTATTGCTGGACCTGGTGCTCACATATGCAGTTGAGCTCATCAGAGAAGTTAAGTGGAGGCAGTCTGGGCTGTAGCAACCAAGGCCTGGGTTGAGTTCATGATCTTGAGGAACATGGGCTTGGTGAGGAGCAGAGTGAACTTCCGAAGAATAAACTTCCAGCTCTTTAAAGAATTAGTGGACAAGATCCCCTGGGAAACTGTCCTTAGGGACAGAGGAGCTGCCCAGAGCTGATAAGTCTTTCGGGCCACTTTTCTTAGAGCACTAAAGCTCTCCATCCCAGTGTGTAAGGAATCAAGCACTGAGTAACTCTTTGAGTGACCTGAAAAGGCCATTACAGCTGACTACCCTGCTGTACTGGGACAAGGAAGCCTTTACTTCAAGAACTCATAATCAAATATAAGACGAACAGGAGAGATGGAATAACTAGGGTGGAAAGGAAGTCAAGGGCTGGAGGAAAGTGTGATGTGTACCAGAGCTTCAGGGACTGAGGCTTTCTATCCCTAATTAACAGACTCACTTGTCTTATTTTCTCCTCTAACCACCGTATGAGCCTTTTAAATATAGAAGGCTCCACCCTGGCTATGTACACAGCCAGCCTGGCACCACCATCCATCTCAGCTACATGGCCACAGGTCGAGTTTTCAGAACCACTTGATGGGTGGATTAATGGCTGTCTTTTTATTGCCAGCTCCTCAGCTTTCAGTGGAGTGGAGTGGGGGGTGGAGAAAGGAGAAAAATAAGTAATAAAAAAACCCCATATGTGAAGCTTTCAAGTCTCATGAAGGTGGATAAAAAAAGTCAAGATTTTATTTTTAAAATAATGTGTAGGGGTTTTATTTGCTGCTTAGTATGAGAAATGTGAGGCTTGTAGGTTCATTTTTCACACTTTCCCACACACACCCCCCAGGCCTGGAAAGATATTT